TAGTGATTTTATTTCCAGCAATGTCAAGATATTTAATGGAAGGCAGTGACAACCATGATGACAAAAATGGCCCTACAAACCCATTCAATGAAATGTCCAGCTTCTGGAGCTGATAGCAGGAGCCTAATGTAGTCTGGATTCCCAAGCGAAACTTGTTCTTTCTTAGCACAAGTGTGACCAACTTGGAAGGCATACTTGGAAAATGAGGCCCAAAATAGTTGTCTTCCAAATCAAGAACTTGCAAGTTTGTCAAGTTTCTGAGATCAGGCACTTCCCCTGACAAGAAGTTACTTGATAGGCAGAGAACTCTGAGAGTTTGTAAATATGCCATAGAATATGGCAAAAAGCCATTAAGCATATTGTTTTTCAGACTGAGAACAACCAAGATTGGAAGTGAACTCAACCAACCTGGAACTTGACCAGTGAACTTGTTATGGTCAAGTATGAGAGTTTGAAGGTTCCTCAGATATGAAAGTTGGAGAGGAACTGTACCACTTAAGTAATTTGTGCTTACATTGAGAATCTCCAGTGAAGACAAATGCCCAATACTTGCAGGCATTGGCCCCCATAAACCAAGAGAAACCAGTGAAAGCACTTTCAAGCTTGGTAAGCCAACAAGAGTGGCAAAGAAATAGTCTGCTGAGAAATCACGAGGCAGTGGAGGAAACCCATTGTTGCCAATAATGTGCAGCTGGGTTATGTTGCCTTCATAACAGGATAGAGTCAAAGATGGAGTTGGTTCAATTTTGCAGAAGTCTCTGATGTTGCTTCTATGGCTGAAGCTGGTTAAGGCTGATGGGTAGTTGAGAAGCTGCTGGATCTTCAGAAGGGTTTGTGACTGAGTGTGTTGTTGTAGCTGGCTTGAAGGATGGAGAGAGAGGAAAACTATGATGAGCAGAAGAAGATGTGAATGGCAAACTAGCTTTGCCATTAGAACCATCAACAAAACCCAAGTTGCAGAAACAACACTCAATAGATGAATCTATTTCTCCCCTTCTTTCTCTGCTTCACTTCTTCCAGGAAGGCTTAAAACTTAGCTTTTGGGGGAATGAAAACCAGATTTTGCTAGCAAAACTATGATGACATTTTCAATTGCACCAAACTGACTTAGCCCTTCAAAATCTATCCTTCAATTTATTTTCCAACTTTTTTTTT